AGAAAGACAGAAAGACAGAAAGACAGAAAGACAGAAAGACAGAAAGAAAGAAAGAAAGAAAGAAAGAAAGAGAAACAAGCAGACCCTGGCTGAGACTGAGTTCTGTGGTGTCTCTGGAGGCAGCTTGGAAGAACACAGTCTCAGAGCTACTGGTATCACCGTGACAACCCTCAGGAACAGGGTTTAAGGCACAGAACACTGATCAGGCAGGGCTTATGGTCTGTAAGATCTCCTTAAATACTAAGCTAAAGGGAAATATTTTAATCTTCATGGGGGAGTGGTTCTATTTTTGAGACATGATCTTGTTATTCACCCCAAAACAGCCTTAGAACTCCCAATCTTCCTGCTTCTGTCTTGAAGTACCAGCATTATAGATACATGCTACCATGTTCAGCTTAGGCTTTCTCTGTATGTTAAGGCCATAGCAGAACATGATTTCATTCGCCTTTCCTAAGGCGGTATACAAGGTAGAACAAAGGCCCTGGGGCACAGGCAAGGGTTCCTAAGACATTTCCTACTGAAGTGCAGAGACTTCTGGTGCTTAGTGCAGTGCTGGTCCATGGGGTACTTATTAGTTCTGTGGATAAAGGCATAGCTGTAGAAGCAGGCCAATCTGCAGGGGCTATGTTCTATTCCTCTTGCTTCCTATTTACTTACTTGAGGGATAACCGTTGTTTCTTCTTCCTTGGTGCTAGAACCTACAGTAGGCTCTTGTGCGTGCTAAACAAGAACTCAGACTATCATTAAAAAACTGACTAACTGCTAGGGAAAAAGCACCAGCAGACTGGCACACACCGTTTTGCCACCTTCTCAGAGAGGGCCAGAGACCTTTGGTACTGACTCTATTTTTTCACATGATTTACTATCTTGTCCCCAATTACCTTCCCACTTCCATCTCCACCCAAAGGTAACATGTCCCCACTCCTTTCTGCTACTGTGGTCAGAAATTGTGTCCTCTGAGATGGCCATGTCCATCCCAGGGCTCTCACTGTGGTTTTCAGGGCTAGAATGGAGGATGAAAAGTTACATGAACAAAGTCTTTCTGGACTTGATAGCAGAGCCTTTTCTACGGCAGCTAAGACCTTTGTCTGGACAGCTGAGGCACTTCCTTATTGATCAAAAATTCATGCTTGGTTTGGATTATTTCTATGTCCTGAGCAACTGGGAACCTCTGGTGATGGCAACGGCTGTCATGACTGTAAGCATTTCTGGTGTCTAAGGGAGGCTCAGAAGTGTCAAATGACAAAAGAGGACTGGCTGAAACTCTATCTGCAAAGTGGTGAAAAGTGCCAAGGACAACTAGGGAGATGGCAGGGGGTCAGAAGGAGTTTTAAGATTTCATCTAAGGCAAGAAGGGGCATGGCATACTGGGATACAGAGGCATGACTAGGAGTGTACTAGAGAGAGTGACTGAAATCTGGACCTCACTGCAGCTGGGATTCTGCTGAGAACTGACTGGGGCGTGCATGGAGAGGACAGTGTTCTGCTCACAGTGTTGTGCGGGGATTGAGAACATGCAGAGACTGCAAAGTGCACACGGAACTAGCTTTTCTACAGCTTGAGAGATCTGTACACAGCGACGATTTATTTCAGTGTCAGGCTAGGTGAAGGACAACCAAGTTCCAAATGGGGCAGAGAGGATTGTTGGGGTCTAGTATAAGCTACTGAGGGACAAGAACATTCAACTTCCAGCACTGTAGAAAGAGTGGGGATTAGAGGACTTACGTTCATTTTCCTGCGGCATCGAGAGAGGTTGAGGAGCAGAGATACTTTTAGCTCCCGGAAGGTTTTCAAGTCCTCACCAAACCCTTCTCTAGGGAATTTCTTCAGAGCATACTGGTAGCGCTGGGCAGCTTCCTTTACTTTACCTTTCTAATGGGAGTACAAATGAAGAGCACAGTGTTGGTTTGCTGAGTTCTGAGATCTGTTTCCAATCCCTGCCTGCTCTTAGCAGCTGTTAGAAAGGTTAAGTCCATTGTTCCTTTGAGGCTGAGAACAGACGTCTAGGCTTTTCCATAGAAACTCCCTTGGCAAGAAAGGGAAGGTTGAAGAGGACATCTAAAATCTCAAGTTGGAGAAACAGAATTTTGGCAAATGGATACAAGAGTTTCGGAACTGTTCTCAAGGGCTGACCTTGCTACCCGGGAAATTCCTTCTTTTCTTGAACTGCTCTCATGGGGACACATATGACTTCCTGGTCCCAACACTCCAGAGTGATGGCTCTTTCCTAGGTTCTGACTTATGTGGTTCCTCTCTGATGTTCTACCTTGCTGTCCCACAGAAAAGATAATTCTCTTCCTCGGGAAAAGTGCGGGACCTAAAATGGTCTAGCCGTGGCTTCTCTAACACAATGAGAAAACTGTGTCAACTGCATCCTCCTACTTGTGGACCAGGCATGAGGGAAGATGGCAGCAGAGAAGAGAAGCTTGGAATTTGTGACTCTCACTTTGTAGGAAATATTTTCCCAAGATGAAATAAATCTGACCAATTTAGGGATCCTGCTGCAGACCCAAAGGTGGCAGCCTCTACCTTGGCTCCCCTGGACAGTCGCGACTCTCTAGGTTGCATCACTTTATTTAGCTTTCATCATCTTCTCATCAGAAATGTAGTCTTCCAAGGTAGAACTGGATGTCAGGAATATTAGCTCTGTCTGTTTACATTAGGAGGCAAAAATTCTTGCTCAGGACAACAGAAGTTATGTTGTGAGCAAGATTTGGACTTTTTTTTTTTTTTTTTTGAGATAGGGTTTTTCTGTGTAGCTTTGGAACGTGGCTGGGGCTCACTCTGTAGATCAGGCTGACTTCGAACTCACTGAGATCCACCAGTTTCTGCCTCCTGAGTGGGATTAAAGGTGTGCGCCACCACTGCCCGGCTAAGGCTTAGATTCTTGAGAGTGACATAAAGGTCCATAAATATGATACCTACAGAAATGAAGATCTTTGAATTTATGTGATTTTATGTTATCAAGTTTGGATCAAGGCTTAAGTTTTCTAAAAGCCATGATTATCATGATGTACTCAAAGGGTGTCCAGGAACTGAATTATGCTCAGGACCTTGTGTATTTATAACATAAGGAGGCTTTACTGGCATTTCCTTTTACATCTGTGATGTCTTGAGGATATTTACTGCTAAAAACTAGGTTTTACATCATTTACAACCTTCAGGGATGTTCAATGAACTGAAACCCTAAGAGCTTCCTTCTGGCCAACTGTATATTAAGGGTACCTATTTTTTAAAGACATGTCTGTCATTCATTGAGTGACTTTAAGAAAATGTAATGCTTATCCTATTAAAAGTGCTATTTTACCATAAACTTTTTTTTTCCAGAATGCCTTCCAACTCATTCTATAGCCAAAGAGGAACTTAAAGCTCCTGATTTTCTCCTGTCTCCACTTCCAAAGTGTTGGGATTACAGGCGTGTGCAACCATGCATTAAAAACTAAGATCAATAAAACTGAAAACAGCTATAGTATATGACTTTACTTTTAGCTGCCTCATGAGTTCCTATTTAGAAGATTCCACATAAAACCTGTTACCAAACTGTAAGTGACCAGGTAAAGCCGGAGTTTTCTGTGATGTGCAAGAGGCATGTGTAGGCTGTGTTTGCTTTCCTGTCAGGAAGGTAAAAGCACAGAACCCTAACTTAAGAGTGGGGAATGACTTTCTACTGTTGTTTCAATAGAAAAGAACGAAAACTCATGTTTTCAAGATTCTACATGTAGAGAACAGTTCCTCCTGCCCTCACCTTATAAAACATGTCCCCCTCTTCCATCAGCTTGCTCAACAGGATGATCATGATGTCTGGTTTGGAGGTGGCCATCGCCCAGGTGGCTGGACCTGTAGTGTACAGGATGCATGATGGGTAAAGAACTCATACAATGTAAGGTGGTAGGAAGCTAGGTGAAAAAAATAGCCTGGGGGAGTTTCTGCTGAGAGAACAACTTGCTCCACAATCATGACCTCATCTTTGGGTCCTGGAGGGTTTCAGTACTCCACTGCCAAGAAGCTGCACCAGATTTGTTTGTATTCACCTTAAAATAAGAATATCTCAACTGTCCAAGTTTGTGCCACCGGAGAGCAGTGGTGCCTGAGTGGTACACACGAGTGCATAATGGCTTAGTTTGGAATTATTTTAAGTCAGAAGTTGGAAGGAAAGGTTTATAGTAAAGGTTACCACAAGATTAGAAAAATCCAAGAAAGAATAATTTATTTTCTATCTGAGGTGGAAAACTCCCACATTTAGACTCAATTTTGAAGTGTGCACTCTGTAGAAGGGAAACCTCATTAAAAACTCTGAAGGCTCCCTTAGAGACTCCCTGGGATTCACCTGGAACCAGGGATACAATTCAAATGTCAATAGATATGAAACAAACAAGCATTAATAAGAACTATTTCACTCATGAAAGAAAAGAATAAAGTTAAATTGATTAGTTTACTGAGGACTGAAATTATTTACCAACTAAGCTTTTTAGGGTTAGTTATTAAAAGTTCAAGTTATTCTCTGCAACAGTCATTAAAAAAGTCTTCTTTTAAGGTGAAGTAAATTAAAAGATTAGAGGTGTAGGGAACTCATGCAGGCTAAATCAAAGAGGAGAAGGCAAAGCTGACCAAGCCATCAGACCACGCCTGATGCTGACAGCAGGGAATATACCTCGTGGGCGACTCGGTAACGTCTGACAACCTTCAAAGAAAGGAGAAAATAAAAAGTTGTAGGAGAGGAAAAAAAAATGGATGAAGGTGAAAAAAAAAGAAGGAAAAAGCAGCAGTGAGAGGCAGGCAGCAAAAAGCCAGCACATCAGCCAACCCTTGTCTACAGTCTGTGGGTGGGGGAGCAGCTGGGATAGCAGCAGCAGGGGCTCGAGAGTCGGAAGCACATACAGAGCAAGGGAAAGCAAAGGCTTATGGCGCTGCAGGGAGCCAGGATGCTCTCAGGGTGGGGCTAGTGCAGAGGCAGCACTAAGATGTGCATAAGTAAGCTCGGCGCAGCCTCCTGACTAAGGCTAGAAAGGGCAGGGCAGAGAGTCATGTGACTCTGGACACAGGTATCTATAGACTATGGCTCAGATGGAACTCTCTCTGGGCCAGTAGCCTTTGTTCACTTGGATAGTAATTGGACCAGGGCAGAGGGAGAACTATATACATTCACACCAAACACCCATGACAACCAGACCACTGGCCCCTGGGCACAGATGGTCAATACCTTCCTTCTTTCTCTTACCTATTTTGGCTCCTTTCTTCAGCAGAGTGACTACAACAGAAGTGTTCCTGCAACCCACTGCCCTATCCAAAGGACGCATCCCGCTGTAGTCAACATGCTCAATCATGGCCCCATGATCCACCAGGAACTGGACCTAGGCAAGGAACAAGCAGAACTGTTAACAGGCACAGTGGACACAGCTTGCCCCTTTTCAAATTGCCTGTCTGAACCAGGCTACAGAAATAATTTCAGATCATAGTGATAGTCTTGATTTTGAATAATAGTTTGTATATTCCTGTCCTCCAGAATTATAGATCTGGAGAATCAAATTTAGAATCATCAAAATAGTAATTTACATTAGGTCCTAGATAGTATTATTGATGGCTGACATCCCCTGTCCTTACTTTCCTGAGGTCTGTTTAAAGGTACTCACCACCTCAGCATCGCCATAGAAAGCTGCCAGATCCAGTGGGGTGCGGCCATTCTTGTCAGCATGGTCTGTAGCAGCTCCATTATCAACCAGAGAACGTACTACGGAGAGATGGCCCTTCAAACAAGCCCAGCTGAGGGCTGTCAATCCTTCTTTGTCCATTAGGGCAATAGAGGCACCTACAAAAACACATGAGAGTGGTGTGTTAACAGGACTGAGGACACAAAACTTTGTAGCAGAAAGGAATGTTGCTATATCTTCTGTCAAAGAACAGCTTTTACTTCTAGATTTTTCTCTTTTGAGATCAACCCTGGCTGTCAATGGCGACATATACCAGTAATCCCAGAAATGTGGAGGAGCAAGCAGGAAGATCATGAGTTTGAGACTAGTTTGGACTATACAGTGAGTCTAAGGCCTGCTGAGCTACTTCTCCATCTCCTGACTGCTGTGATTACAGGTGTGTGCCAGTCCAGTCTGTGTGGTGCTGAGGACTGAACCTAGAGCTTGTGTATGCTAGGGAACCACTCTGCCAGCTAAACTTTATTCCCAGACCCTAAATTACAGCTTAATTAAAAAACACTTAAGTGTTCCTATTTTACAACTATGTAGGCTGAATAATTTTTGTTGACTTAGTAAAAACTCACTTAAGTTAAAAAAAAACAAAATAAAACACTCAAAGAAAATATAAAAGCGATCAGTTCAAAGACCTTGTGTAAGGCAGAACAAACCTCTGGAGTCTATGCCTAGTGAGTGTCTATTGGCATGTGTCAGACACGGTAGTTATCTAGAGGTTATCAGTGTTGAAGTGACCCTGTTTTTCTGTTGGGTTTAGTTTGTTCTGGAACATTGCTTCATGTCACATCTTAAGAATCTAGGTCTATTCCCTCGGAGTGCTGCTCCCTTCTCTAGCAGAAATAAAGAGAAGTATCATAAAGTCAGACTTGTTAGGCAGCTTGTGCTGGGGACACAAGAGCTACATTGTATCCTGAAAGAGCAACTCTTGACTCTAGCCACCTTTGAGTTTGAGGTTGTAGGAACAAAAAAATCTTCCTTGAAAGGACAGAGCTGAAGCCACAGCAAATATCTTAGGAGAAGTCTAGTCTTCCTGCTCCTTAGCTGTTCAGGTCTGGGCACAGTTCTTCAAAAGGCTGATTTTCCTTGAAGGAAAGTGCATACATGTATAGATAATAATATATATTTAAGTCTGGTTTATTTACAGTGTAGGCTAACAGGAATGATGTCATTCATGGTTTCAAATCTCACTACCCACTGCTTGATGCAAATCCACAGGCTCCACTAGGTGGTGCTGCAGTACCACTAGTGATGAGTCTTTACTATGCGGTCTGTGACACCATTACAACATAGTGTGCTAAGCTTAAACCAGTCAGCAGGGGCTGGATGCTTTCCCACTATGCACCTGTAGAGAAAAAGCACACTAGGCTCATAAAGGACATCCCCTTTAGGATGTATGCTGGAAAATACCATAAGGAATTTATGTAACTTAATAGTAATATCCCGATTCTCCAAAGAGAGTCTCATTGCTAGCAAGTGTCTTCTCTTTACCTCCTTTAGATTCAAAAACAGTATCAGCTATGCAGTCTGACAAACTGATACCCAGCTTCACCTGGTTATGTTGGCGAACACCCTTAATCCTAACACTTGGGAGGAAGAGGCAGGTGAATCTGTGTGAGTCTGAGGTTACCCTGGTCTATAAAACAAGTTCCAGGTCTACATAATGAGGCTCCACACCACCACCACCACAACCAGCAGCAACCACAGTAAAATTACCCTCTAAAATAGATGCTTATTTACTGGGCATACATTAAAAAACTGAATTTGGGAGATTATTGATTTGAAAGAAAGAGTTCACAATGTGTTGGTTTCATAACAATCTCGCAGGCTATAAAGAAAAAGAGAATGTCAGCATTAGGAGAACACAGCGTATTAAGTGGGCAGGCTGGGAGTGGTGAGGCACACCTGTACACTTGGCTCTCTGGAAGCTAAGACAAGAGGATCACTTTAAGTTTGAATCCAGCCTGGTCAAATATTTATAAACACACACACACACACACCCCACAAGAAAGTGCCAGATAATTGAGGCTGAAAATCAATGTTGTGAGTTCAAGGCCAGCCTGTAATCTTATTTTTAAGAAAGTGAAGGTAAAATAATAATAATAAAAAAAAACAGGACAGGAGCTGCTGGCTTTTCTAATCAACTGAATTAGTAAATTCTTTTTTTTGTGGGAGAGTTCAAGACAGAGTTTCTCTGTGTAACAGTTCTAGTTGTCCTGGTGGTCTCAAATCTGCCTGTCCTTGTTGGAATTAAAGACATGGATCACCTAGCTGAATTAGTAAATTTTTTTAAAACCCCTTTTTCTTTTTATTTAAATTTTTAAAAATTTTATGTATTAGCCCCAGTTTCCCTCCTTGCCCCCCACACCTCCTCCAACTCACCCCTCCCCACCATCCGCTCCTCGGAGAGGAGGTAATGCATCCCTTGGGGAGTCAAGCCCCCCACCCCCAGCAGATCAAGCCACAATAACTGTCACCCTCATTTAGAGGGCTTAGTTTGGTCTCATGCAGGATCCCTAGATGTCAGTCCACAGTTCCACTAGCCCAGGTCAGCTGTCTCTGTGGTTTTTCCAACCATAATCTTGACCCCACTTGCTTCCTTCTCCCTCTTTTCTATTAAGCTCCAGGAGCTCAGAAGAGTGCTTGGCTGTGGATCACTACATCTGCTTCCATCAGTTACTGGATGTAAGTTCTATGACAATTAGGGTAGTCACTAATCTGATTATAAAGGAAGGCCAGTTCAGGCACCCTCTCCACTATTGCTAGGAGTCTTAGTGTCATCCTTGTGGATTCTTGGGAATTTCCTTAGCACCTGGAAATTCTCCTTAACCCCATAATGGCTCCCTCTATCAAGACTAACACTTTCATTGCTCTCCCTCTTCATCCCTTCTCCAATTCATCCACCCCATTCCCTCATGTTCCCATCCGCCACCCCTCCCTTCTACCACTCTCCCAGTTTACCCAGGAGATCTTAACTATTTCCACTTCCTGGAGCCCTTCATTTGGGTCCCTCTTAGGGTTCTCTTTTTTTCTTTTTTAAATCTAGCTTCTCTGGGGTTGTGGGTTGTAGCCTGATAATCCTTACAAATTCTTAACATGTAATGAAAGTCAGGAGAAGTTCAGTGGGTTATTACAGGCTTTATTCACAGCTCTGGCCTCTCAGTACTTACCTTGTGCAAGTAGAAAGTCCACGGTTCCTAGATGGCCTTCAGAAGCAGCCATCATCAGGGGAGTGCGACCCTGCTTGTCTGCCATGTTGACATCAGCTCCGTGGGTAAGTAAAAGGTCAACAATCTGCAAGTGCAGAGAAGCAGAGGCTGGTTATTCTCAGAGCTGCTGAGGTGACATGCACGTGGTCTCCTACAGTGTGGAGGACTACTTGCAGAGAGTCCTCTTTATAAGCAGTTTTCTACTTATGAGTTTCTGTACAGCCCTAGTGACACAAGACTTACTTTCTTCACTCCCTTAGGGATAAGCAAATGAGGATTCACTGCTGAACATCTGACTACATTAAGTTAGAAAAAAAGACAAGATGTGGTCTGAACCATCCCATAATCAAAGTTCCAGCCCAAGTAACCAGCTATGCCAGTTCCATTTTATTACTCTCTGGAAGCTGCAAGCCTGCAGCACCAACAACATTGCCACTGAACTGACTACAATAAAGTGCTTCTGGTAACAGCAGCGCCTTTTAAGCACTGTTTGGCTTCTGGAGTCTTTTTTCCTACTCAAGTACTTCCAGAGATCATCGTCAGTATCCTTTCTTTTCCATCCTAGTGTATAAATTAATGGTTTTTCTAGAGTCCAAACCTCTGGAAAGACCAAATAACTAGAGTTTGCACATAGTGTGTTTTCTCCCGGCAAGTCTGAAACATTTGTGAGTAACTGGTCTGCAGGGGTCTGCTGAGATGTGAACCTCTCAATCAACTGGCAAATACTGTCACATGGAAACAGTGGTTTCTTCATGATCACAGCAAATCAATTTAGCTCACAACAATGGTTTTGAATGTTAATTCCCCACCCACTCCTTCTTTTGAGCAGGGTCTCACTATGTAGCTCTGGCTATTCTAGAACTCACTCTGTAGACGAGGCTGTGGCCTTGAACTCAAGAGATTCACCTGCCTCTGCATTCCGAGTGCTGGATTTAAGGTGGGCACCACCACACCAGGTGAATGTTAATTTCTTACACTTTCAATTGAGTGGAACATTAGTAACAAAAGCCCATGTCCTCAAGCCTGAAGATTGCCGAGAAACCCATTTGTGGCTTCTTTTCTTTGCATCAGAAGTTTCTACCTGGAGCTCATTCTTTCCAGAGGGCTGAAAGCGGCACCATACTTACCTGCCAGTGGCCCTGGCGAACAGTGCTGAAAAGGGGCACCGCTCCTCTGCGGTTTGGCTGGGCCACTGCTGCCCCTTGTTCCAGAAGCAGACGGCACACATCCAGTTTGCCCCTTCCTGCTGCGGCTGTCAGGGCTAAGGGCAGATTAACAAATATTGAGGATGGACAGCTCTTCTCTTTTCTAGTGTTCAATGTTAAACATGGATTAATATGCTTCTAAATGCAAACACAGTAAATTACTGTCTGATTAATGTAATCAATTAACAACTAATGTAACAACTTTACCTCCAAGAATAATAATCTTGGCTGCCTTCTCCAGAAAGGATATTTTTGAAGAAAAATAATAAGGATATTAAAAAGGGCTCACATTATCTGGGGCCAATCATAATAATGAATTAACTGAAAAATCACTGTGGTCAAATTCGCCTAGTTTCACTTTTCCTATACCCAGATTGCCTTCTTTGCTATGGGTATTTCTGTTTTGAGGTTCTTAACCTAGTTACAAAACCTATCAGTCTACTTGTGAATGGAATCTAGAGAAGAAACTGCAGAGAAAATTAGCTGGGCAAAGTACTGGTCGACCTTTCCTCCTGTGCTCTCAAATCTAAAGAGTCAAAGGCAGGAACTGCGGTTTAAGACTATTCTTTTCCTTTAAACTAATCAAGATAGTAAGTTTTAGAGAAGAGATTTGCAAGCATGACTGTCAGAACCGTCCATGTAAGATGATCTTAGAGACAAGAAAACAGCTGTGAAAAAGACAACTTTTTTCCTATCATTGGGGCAGGGGTTGGGGCTGGACAGAGCCCAGGCTAGCCTCAAACTCACTCTGTAGCCCAGGATGACCTGGTTAGGGATTACAGGCATGCAACAATACACCAGGCTTTCTTCCTCTAAACATAAAACAATGGAGCCACAGACTTAAAAGTAGCTATAAAGAGAATATAAAGGATACAGGAGAAAGAAATCAGTATTTTTTCTTTTTTCTTCAGTGTAGTGGACATTCTGAATATATATTTCATTTTCTGTACCGTTTGTACAGTAGGAAGAATACTTTGGAGATAAAAAAACCCCACCTCTCTGTGTGTATGGTGTTTGTGTGTTGATGTGTGCCCATGTATGTGCAGGTTGTCAGAGGTTGACACCAGTGTCCTCCTCATTCTCTGTTGTGGTCTGAATAAGATGGCTTCCACCTCCATAGATTCGAATATTTGAAAGTTTTGTCAACAGGGAGTAGAGTTTTTAATAAAATGATTAGGAGGTGTGGCCTTGTTGGAGGAAGTGTAGAATAGGCTTCAGGTTTCAAAAGCCCATGACAGGCTCAATCTCTCCGTGCTGTGGATCAGTATGTAGCTCTTAGCTACTGTCCTAGCCCCATACTTGCCACCAGGCTCCCTGTCACAATGGACTGACCCTCTGAAACTGTAAGCAAGGCCCCAACTCCATGCTTTCTTCTGTAAGAGTTGCTGCCGTTATGGTGCCTCTTCACAGAACACTGACTAAGACATTTTCCATTTGACTTTTTTTGAGGCAAGATCTCTCATTGAACCTACAGCTCACTGATTCAGCTGGCTAGCAAGCTCCTGATTTACACCTGTCTCTGCTTCCCCAGTTCTGGGCTTACAGATGTGTGCTGTGCTGGAGATCTAAACTCAAGTCCTATGTTTGTGGGACAGAACTTTACCAAGCTTTCTTCCCAGGCCTGAATTTAATGTTTTAAAGACTGGACAAAGGGTAGGAAAAATAGAAAACTATTAGAAAATAATTAAGAGTTATGCTTTGTTAAAGAGAGAGCGGAGAGAGACTGTAGATGTTTCCCCATCTTCTGAACTGATTTGGAAAACTGACAAAGTAGACTAACAAAAGGTCCTTACTTACTTATTACAGCCATATCTTCTAATGACAACACAGACACTATTCGGCTACACTATTGATGCTGGGCCCTCACTGACTCCTCTTAGATACTAGATTTTTTTTTAAATTAATTCTTGTTGAGCTCTACATTTTTCTTTGCTTCCCTTCCTGCTTCTCCCCTCCCCACTTCAACTCTCCCTCCAAGGTTCCCATGCTCCCAATTTACTCAGGAGATCTTGTCTTTTTCTACTTCCCATATAGATTAGATCTATGTATGTCTCTCTTAGGGTCCTCATTGTTGTTTAGGTTCTCTGGGATTGTGATTTGTGGGCTGGCTTTCTTTGCTTTATGTTTAAAAACCACTTATGAGTGAGAACATGTGATAATTGTCTGTGTCTGGGTTACCTCACTCAAAATTATGTTTTCTAGCTCCATCCATTTTCCTGCAAAATTCAAGATGTTGTTATTTTTTCTGATATGTAAATGAACCACATTTTCCTTATCCATTCTTCAGTCAAGGGGCATTTACGTTGTTTCCAGGTTCTGGTTATGAAAAACAAAGCTGCTATGAACATAGTTGAGCACATGTCCTTGTGGCACGATTGAGCATCCTTTGGTTATATACCCAAAAGTGGTAATCCTGGGTCTTGAGAAAGGTTGTTTCCTAATTTTCTAAGAAATCGCCACACTGACATCCAAAGGGGCTGTACCAGCTTGCATTCCCACCAGCAATGCAGAAGTGTTCCCTTTTCCCCACAACCTCTCGAGCATAAGTTGTCATCAGTGTTTTGGATCTTGGCCATTCTTACAGGTGTAAGATGGAATCTCAGAGTTGTTTTGTTTTGCATTTCTCTGATGACTAAGGATGTTGAACATTTCCTTAAGTGACTTTCAGCCATTTTAGATTCCTCTGTTGAGAGTTCTCCGTTTAGGTCTGTACTCCATTTTTTTTTTTTAAATTGGATTATATGTTCTTTTGGTGAGTTCTTTGTATATTTTGGAGATCAGAACTCTGTCTGATGTGGGGTTAGTGAAGATCTTTTCCCATTCTGTAGGCTGTCATTTTGTCTTGTTGACAGTGTCCTTTGCTTTATAGGAGCTTTTCAGTTTCAGGAGGTCCCATTTATTAATTGTTTCTCTCAGTGTCTGTGCTGCTGGGGTTATATTTAGGAAGTGGTCTCCTGTGCCAGTGCGTTCAAGTGTGCTTCCCACTTTCTCTTCTATAAGGTTCAGTGTGGCTGGCTTTATGTTGAGGTCTTTGATTCATTTGGACTTGAGTTTTGTGCCTGGTGATAGATATGGGTTTATTTTCATTCTTCTACAAGATACTGGATTGTTGACTGTAGTTTTGAGTCTGCAGGACCTGACTCTTCACGTGCTCCAATAGATCATAGATGGGGTAGATGTTGGGGTGGGCCAACTTATAACCTAGGTTCTGGCTTGGGTAATTGCAGAGTTTGTCAGCCTGCCAGCTCTCCCTTGTCCTCACCATTAGGGTGAGCTCTCCAGCACTGCCTGACTACTCCCCCCACCAAAAAGATGAGCAAGGGGCGGGGTCAGTTCTCCTTTCACATCCTCAGGGTTGACTCTCCTACACCTACACCATCAGGGCCAGCTCTACTGTGTAACCATGGCAAGGTGCAGGGGCCATTCTCCCACGTGCTGCAGCTGGTAATGGGCAGGGCCAGTTCTCCCACCTGCCACAGTTGGTGAGAGTGGGGGCGGTGGGAGGGCATCTTTCCCTCACTCACACCACCACATCACAGATGAATCACATGGGACTGATCTCCCACATTCACATTCTCAGGGCAGTTCAACCCCTCCTCCACCCTATCCCCCAAATCAGTAGGGTCAGCTCTACTGTGCTGTCCAAGTGAACAAGTGAGGTGCAGGCCCCACTTTCCTGAGTGCTGCAGTTGGTAAGGGGGAGGGTCAGTTCCCTCACCTACCACAGGTGGTAGGGGCAAGGAGGAGTAGGATATCTTTCCCTCGCCCTCACCAGTTATCCCACTCTTACATCTCCAGGGCCAGTTCACCTGCACTTCTGTCAACAGCGTCAGCTCTACTATGCTGCCCAGGTGAGGAGCACAGCCGGCTTTCCTGAGTGCTATAGCTGGGAAGGGGTAGGGTCAGCTCCCTTGTCTGTTGTAGGCAATGAAGGGCAACGGGGGGCAATTGTTCCCCGTCCACACCTCCACATGACAGACAAGTAGTGGGGACAGCTCCCTCATGTTCACAACTTTGGGGCTGGTTCACCCACATCTCTGCCAACAGGGTCAGCTCTACTGTGTTGCCCAGGCAAGGTGCAAGATCTCCTCTCCTGAGTGCTACAGCTGGTGAGGGGCAGGGGAAGCTCTCTTGCTCTTATGACCTCAGTGCCAGCTCTCCCAACCACTTCAGGTATAGAGGGACGGGGCAGGTGTGGGGGTGGGGTGGGCAGAAACCAGAGGCCTTGAACCAGACCAGACCAATGACTGTTTGCAATGAACACTTGCAAGTAAAGATATATGGACAAAAGGTTTTACTGCAAGACTCACTGTGTCACACTGCAGCTTCCACGAGGAGATTGAATTTTTTCTTAAATTTTATCTTATTGGGGAGGGTTACAAGGGCAGAGGGCAGATATGAATGGATGGGGAAATGAATGGGATCAAGATGCATGATGTGAAAGACCCAAAGATTAAATAAAAAGTTAAAAAAACTATTAGGCATGCACAGATATTTTAGTTTTCAAATGTTGGACTCTAATCAAAGAAGTCTTGAAATTCAAATTAACTAGTCACTTGTAATTTTTTTCACCTGAAAATTATGGAATTTAAAATATTTACATTTGGGGGCTGAAGAGATAGCTCAGAGGTTAAGAGCACTGACTGATCTTCCAGAGGACCCTGGTTCAATTCCCAGCACCCACATGGCAGCTCACAAGTGTCTGTGACTCCTATTCCAGAAGATCTGATGCTCTGACTTCATGGGCACAAGGCATGCACATAGTGCACTTACATGCATGCAAGCGAATCAGCCACACTCAAAATAAAATCTTTAAAAAATTTACATTTATCTATTTGGTATATATGTATAACAAAATGTGGACAGAGAACACCTTGTAGGTTTCAGTTCTCCTCTGAGACAGAACTCAGGACATTAGGCTAATGAGTGTGTGCCCTTATTCACTGAGCCATCTTGCTGGCCTGGCATTGCCTTTGGTTCTGGCTTAATTATCTATAACTGAACCATATGCAAAATTAAAACTCCCTATAATTTATACAAAGCCAAGCTTTCAAAT